AAACACATGGAATAATACCTTGCAGGAAAGAATCAGCATTAGAACAGCTCAGAACAGATCCAGAGGCTTTCTGAGAGATTTATACCAAAGCAGACCCAGGTAACCAAATGATGAAATGACTACCTGGTCTTGCAGATCACTTGAATGAATGATGMTTGTTTAATTTTCACCTTGGTGTGCTCAACATGATGTTTCCTTTATAATGAAGCTGTTTTAGGTATTCAGTAGTGGAGGTAAGATTTCATTTTGGAGTAAAAACTTAAGGACATAAGCAGAGTAGTCATCTCCAGTAGGTGGTTCTTCTGTGAATCACAGTGTAAAATTAGACAAGATTCTCAACATTTATCTGGCTTACAACTAATTCATTAATACTTATATTTAGTTTGCAATGAATGAGTTTCATTACAARCTCTGGATTAAATTTGCTAGCTTTCAGGAGGATGAGAATTAAATGTAACATAATTTATTAAGACTATTTTTTTCCCCTAGGGTATTTCCTGTTTTCTATAAATAGTTCTATTGTTGGGGTGGTCTTTACTTCATTTTATTCTGTGGCCTAACTTGAATCACTTCAGTCTTTATGCTCCTTTTCAGTCATTTTTTGTCTGATTTATTGTTTTGTTTAGAGTGCTTTTTTTTTTTTATCTACTGCAGAGTGAACTCCTCCTTCCTTCAATTTTTAATATTTCTATGCATTTAGATTCATTCAGATCACCAGGACCAAATACTAGAACTAACAGTTTGGTGGAGCTGCTTTTGAATTTGCTTGGCAATTTGCTTGGGAGATGTTGGGCTGGRTTTCTATTAAGCCACGTGAACAGAGAGGTGCAAATTGCAAAATTTCCATCTGATGCAGATCAGAATAACTCCTCTGAAACTGACGAAGTGATGTTGATTTATAGTCTGCTGTAGATGCACTGTATACCTCCACCTCTGTAAAAAAGCTCTGGAGCAGCTGGGTGGATAAACTTAGGAGTTAAGAGGCTTAGCCTGGAGTCGGTCTGAAGGAGCTCAGCTTTTGTGCAGCTCTTCAACCATCTCTCTTTCAGTTCTGCCTTCCAGAGAGAAAAGCAGTCTTTCAYGGAGGATATAAAGTAGCGGTTATGCTCAGAATTTGTCTTAGTTGAAGTCTCATTCAATAGTGCTGCTTCAGCTGTTTAAAAACAGGCAGCAGAAATCTACAGATTTGCAATCGGCTGCAGCAATTTCAGTCTTTTAAGATGAAGCTGCTCTCCATTTATTACAATGAAAAACATGCCTCAGATGAATGTTTATGTGGTCTGGGGAYGATAAGGCATATAGTGAAACAGATATGCTGTAGTTTTTCTGATTGTTTATGATCAGTGATGCTTTGGCCTTCATTGTGTTGATATCAAGCCATGTGCCAACTGAAGTTTGAAATCCAAACTTGTAACATAACCCAATGAGAATTTGAAAAAAACAAGGAAGAGAAGATGTGTCATTCGACAGTATTATGTTCTCTTTATCTTTAAAAAATCTCTCATAATAAGGCCCCAGACAGAATGYTTTACCCTAATTTCAATCTTTTTGCTACCAGGTTCTGTCCTGTTCTCTAATTCTTTCTAACTATGATTTACAGTGAAACTATACACTTGGAAGTACTTAAGATATATATATATATATTTATATATTATATATATAATATATTTATATATATATATAAAAACCCTCAGGAAATGTTTCATAAGTTGCAGTTACAGGGATCATCTGCACTGTAGCCTGTTAACAGCAGAAGCACACAAAATAAAAATAAGTGGAAGCTTAACGTTTCCTATGATAGAGCTGCATCCAATGCTGTTTTCAGCATTTCAGCATTTCTTAATGTAGCTTAAGGTTTATCTGATAYCTGTTGAAGCATCAGAGATGTACATTACGGTACTCGGGATTTGATTAGTAAGAATAATACAGCTTTCCCATCTTTATTTCCAAATGTGATAGAGATTAAAAATATAAGTAAAATATTCTAGGGTAGCAAATGGTAATGTACTGAAGCTTGCAGGTGAGACTGCTGCTTCCATCATAAATAGTATAATTTTTAAAGCTCYAGAAAAAAATGGCAGAAAAGGCAAGAATGATTTAATTGTTTCTTATAYGTCGTTTTGATAACAAAAATTGCTGAGTACCAGTAGCTGCTGTGCCCATAGAATCATAGAATGCTGAAGGTTGGAAGGGACCTCAGAGGTCATCGAGTCCAACCCC